GCCTGACCAGTGTCCAGAGGAACTTATGACTGGTTGAAATTAATAAAAGCAAGATAAAGTAATAGCAAGAGCACTTAGACTTATATACCGCTTCACNTTAGTTCTAGGTTGCTTCTCTCCTTGATTAATTTCCACCCATTGCTTCTTGTCCTGCCTTCAGATGTTTGGAGAATAGCTTGACCTCCTCTTCTTTGGGGCAGCCCCTGAGATATTGGAACACTGCTATCATGTCTCCCCTAGTCCTTCTTTTCATTAAACTAGACATGCCCAATTCCTGCAACCGTTCTTCATATGTTTTAGCCTTCAGCCCCCTAATCATCTTTGTTGCTCTTCTCTGCACTCTTTCTAAAGTCCCAACATCTTTTTTACATCGTGGCAACCAAACTTGAATGCAGTATTCCAAGTGTGGCCTTACCAAGGCATTATAAAGTGGTATTAACCCTTCACGTAATCTTGATTCTATCCCTCTGTTTATGCAGCCTAGAATTGTGTTGGCTTTTTTGGTAGCTGCTGCACACGGCTAGCTCATATTTAAATGGTTGTCCACTAGGACTCCAAGATCCCTCTCACAGTTACTACTATTGAGCAAGGTACCAATAGTCACTACTGTTGAGTAAGGTACTATAGTTGTTGGGAACAGCAACATTGAGCATACTCAGAAATGCACAACCAAAGATTGAATTTTGACTGATTGTCAAGTATCCCCCTGGGAGTGACTATATACCGAAAGTCCACGACTTATTACCAGAATTGAGTTCCAAATGCCTGCTGCTTTTCGTTCACTATGTTTTATTTTCATTATAGGTAGTCCTCAATTTAGGACCAAAATTGAGCCCCAAATTTATGTTGCTAAGCAAGAACAGTTATTAAGTGAGCTTTATCCCATTTTATGACTTTTCTTCCCGCAGTTATTAAGTGAATCACTGCACTGTTGAATTGGTAACATGATTCTTAAGTGAATCTGGCTTCCCCGTTGACTTTGCTTGTCAGAAAGTCATAAAAGGTGCTCAACGTGACTCAGGAACACTGCAGCTGTCATAAATATGAGTCAATTGCTAAGCATCTCAACTTTGGTCAGATGACCATGGGTATGCTGCCGCAGTCGTAAGTGTGAAAAATGATCATAAGTCACTTTTTTCCGTTGCGTTGTAACTTTGGAGGTCACTAAATGAACTGTTGTAGTAAGTAGGGGTGAAATGCTACCAGTTTGGGCTGATTCGCCCAAACTGATAGTAAAAAATGCTACCGATTTGAGAGAAACTGTAGTTCCGATGATCAGCTGTGCAACAATTAGCTGTGCCGTGGGGCACAACTGATCGTTGAAACTACTGGTTCGCCCAAACCAGTAGCATTTTTTTTACTACTAGTTCCGACAATCAGCTGTACAACAATCAGCTGTACAACAATCAGCTGTGCCATGGGACACAACTGATCGTTGAAACTACTGGTTCGCCCAAACTGGTAGCATTTTTTTACTACTGGTTCCGACAATCAGCTGTGCAACAATCAGCTGTGCCATGGGACGCAACTGATCATTGAAACTACTGGTTTGCCCAAACTGGTAGCGTTTTTTTACTACTGGTTCCGACAATCAGCTGTGCAACAATCAGCTGTGCCATGGGACGCAACTGATCATTGAAACTACTGGTTCGCCCAAACTGGTAGCATTTTTTTACTACTGGTTCCGACAATCAGCTGTGCAACAATCAGCTGTGCTGTGCAATTTCTATTCGCTAGAAAGCAGGAAATCCTGCATTTCACCCCTGGTTGTAAGTCAAGGAACTACCTGTAGATAAAACTCTCCTCAGGATAATCTGAAGATAATTCAGATTATTCAGCCTACTTCACAGAGTTGCTGCTGCAGGGCTGGCATGACTGATGAAGTCACACTAAGCCAACTTCAGCAACTTAGAGAAAATGTAGAATATTGATGCAATCAAAAGAAATTAATAAACTTTGCTTGCCACTTCACGTGGAGTGCATGCGGTAGAACAAATGCTTCTACAAA